GGCAGGCCGTGCGTCCGAAACTTTTCGCTCAAATGCTCCACCGTTTCGTTGGCCGCCGAAAAAAAAAAAAAAAAAGCCTAGCCTTAAGCAATGCACCCCCCTCCCACTCCTCTTTACGGCAACCTCGCTACGGACTCTCAGCAGAGACTGTTGTGTCCTCGCTTCCTTCTAGTACGTTTCAATCATAGTCGGTCTCTTCTGCGACCTTCGCGTGGCCCTTTAGCACCCCGTGGCAGACCCACGTGGCCGTATTAGAGAGAATGAAGTTTCGCGCAGTGAAAACGCCAGCGAGAGGCGGAGGGCAAGTGTTTAACGTGATTTATCATCTGAGCGACTCGCTCGGCAACAGACCATAGCCAGCCTGTGTTCCATGGAGCACCATTCCGCTGACAGAAATCTCTTTCGGTGTCCAGAGGAAATTAGCGCCGTGCCGTTCTCGGCTCGCCTCGCTGCGCGTAATGTATGTCGTTGCGACTTTTCGTCCAGCTGACCGAGCATCGTTGGTTTTATGATATTCCTGTACACATTTGCTTTTTTTGTCTGTGTGCTCGTATGTTGTAACCGGGATTACTCAAAGAGGGGCAAGTAAGCTTGTTTTGCCGACCAAACTTAATGTCTCTTGATAACTCACTCTCCAATCCGATTTGTGAAACTGTGTCGCGCCCGTTCTTTCACCGTCGGTACCACTGTACTTCGCTGTCCTCGAAAAGAGCCAATAGTTTGTGAGCTTTCATAACTCCCAGGTTGTGTCGCGCTTTCTATTTTGCGCTTAGAGGAAGCTTTGTCCCCAATGAAGCACGTTCTTTGAGTGTTCGGTGTAGTTCGACGCCGTCCGTGGCGGTCGCATTTCGATGGGGGTGCAATGGCAGAGGCTTGTGTGCTTAAATTTAGGTGCACCTTTAGAAATTACAAACTTCTCCACTACGGCGTGGCTCATAATCATTTCGTAGTTTCGGCACGTTAAATATCTAGATATATTATTATGATTTGTTGGGTATTCAGTAGTATTAAGGAAACATTTATTCCCAAATCGCTTGCATGGCTACCCGCTTGGATAAATGCCTACTCCCGTGCCAAAATGCCTTATAGAGGGATATTTGTTCATGCCTGGTTCTGTTGAGTGCGCCATCCTAAAGGAACACTACTTACCATTCACAATTACAGTAACACGGGGCTCTTGTTGACCATGTTAATGAAACCAAATAAGCGTTTTATCAGAAGCGCATTCTTTAGTGGTCATACGTTAAATGTGTGTTCTTTAGCACGTTTCGAAGTTATTTTGATTGTTGCTTTAGCACTTGCCTTCTGGTGCTCACAATAATAGACTATCGGGCGCCTACTACCTAATCCAATGCGTCAAGGCTCAAATGCTGCGCTTTTCCTTCGAAGATTAATCACCGCAGCAGTTTGATTTCATCTGTATCACAGTTATGACGGAGGTGCCGCAATATCTACAAATATCTGGCAGATATTGTTGCACAAAATACGAGCATACTACAAACGATTGCGCATGACTTCGTGTGCCTTTTGAAGGCCACAGCGCCAACAACTTCATTTCGCAACGATGCTTGAGTTGTAGTCTTCTCCTGCGAAAGAGTATACTAACAGAAGAGCCAGCTTTACAGGAGCTAAATAAACAATTTGATTTATTCGGCGTTTGTATCATGTGTGGTTTATTTTTAAACTTCTTTTGAATATTTCCGCAGCATGTACACGAAGGTTCAAGCGACGTTCGCGCACCATGATGCAACTTTACTTCGAGAATTTGAACACGTGAATAAATATATAGGTACTTGCAGATAACGAAGAAAAAAAAACAAGAAAATAACCCGCGTAAATATCTTTAATTATTTACCTTAATGAATGTTGATTCCGAGGATATGCTGAACTGAAAAAAAAAGCTAAGAAATAGTAACGGAATGTCAATCGTGTTACTGCGCATGAGCAAGCATATTCTTCTTCTAGCAAGTTTACTTCGACCATATACTATCAGAACACACTATTGTTCTAATCCAACAGTGGTCGCTGTGTTTTCTTTTTACAGCGAAAGCTGTTATGAAATCAGAACACAGCTCACGAGCGGCGCCGCAGTTGTCCGCTGCCGCCGCCCCCGCCGGTGTCCGTAAGAAATATCGCAAAACTGGCCTTACGCGGACTTGGTGTCGGGAAATAAATCGCGCTAATATGAGTAATAAAGCGTTTTAGAACACCAAATGAACAACCACGTGTCACACAATGCAAATTTCGTAAAGAATGGGTAGTCTAATGAGCCAACTCGTTGCCAAAGCTTGTTCTTGTTCACATATTAACTGTAGCGCGTACCCACTTAAGGAATAATTCTTCATCGTCGTCAGCCACTGCATAAAAAAAATATTGCACAATCATTCCAAGCAAGTGTGTTGCGGATACCTTGCGTCTTAGAAGTATGATGAAAGATAGCATAGTGAATGCATCCTACTACTAAAAAATCCTGATTATATGGGGCATGATGGGTGCCCAGGAAGCGCACTTGTAACAGTTACTGAAAGAGTGTTAAGAAAATGCTCGAGCTTTCGCTGTGACAGTGATGCGCGTTCCGCACCGGCCTGGTGTTTTATCTTACTTTTTTCGATTTGCTATCTTTATTGCTGTCCACCTTAACGCCGGGTTTTGTGATCATCAGCTGTGCTAGACAAAAGGGAGGAGAAGCGAGTGTAAGATGTTAACAGTTCGCAGTGTTTTGTTCAAAATACTCGTGGTGATTGCGCACTTTCACGGGAGAGTATGAAAGGTGAACGCTGTTACAGCCACACAAGAGTTCTGCTAACGAAAGTTGTTGATTGAAAAATATTCTCGCAAATTTATTTCCGTCCGAGATACCGAGAATACGCGAATTCGAGTCACCTTCGAGACAGCTAACGTGCATGGAGAGAGAAAGAATATGAGGAGACAAACGAATGTAATTGCTAGGGCTTTTCATGGACGAACCATGATATGGTTATGAGGAACGCCATATTGGAGTTTAGACCATCTGGAGTTCTTCAATGTTCATATAAGTTTAAGTACATATGCCTCTAGACCGCCACCTTGATGGGAAAGGTGGTAGTTGGGGGGGGGGGGGGGGGGGGGGGGGGATCGGATATTACAACCTTCATGGAAAAGGTGTCCATAAGGGCCGGGATCCGACCCCACGACCTTTTGTTCAGCGTTCGAGCACGGCTATACGACTAGACCACCGCGGCGGGTAAGGAGAGACAAGCACCCGCGGAATTACGTGAATGCATCGTTGTCATTCGCTCTTATCACCTTTTCCACCTCAGTGCCTTCGCTTTCTCGAGAGGCTTTCACCTGAGAAGCTCTCCTGCGGCGACGTGCCACAGCGTTTCGGCGCCGCGGGGCCCCGTCGACTCGAGCGCAAATCGACCGATTATAGAAAGGCCGAGATCCCTGCTCTCCCTGGTCGCATTCTCACTCTCTGCACCCTTTCAATGTTCGCACCTCTCATCTCGCCAGTAAGTGGCCTCGTCCTTTCGCGAGGCACCGGGCTGTGGTCGCGGCACGTTGGCGCCATCAATTTCGTGTTTAGCACCTCACCTCCCAATGCCTCGGCCGCGGCCTTACCGAAAAGCGAGTGCCGCTTCGGATGTCGATGCTTTTTGCGGGCTTTCCCCTCATCACTGTTCTTTTCCTCTGCTCTGTTCTTTTCTTCATCTACGATATTGATATTATTAACTATCCTTCCTTGCCCACGTTTTCTACCACTGCTCGCTATAGGACTGGTTCTAGCAGGCTTTCAAGTTATCATTTTCACTTGCTTTTCCGTTTGTTCGGCCGAAGTCCGCAGAGTAATCTTCCTGCTCTTCGCTAAAAGAACTTACCGGAAGGCTTTGTGGAGACCAACTCAAACTGCGCGCAAGCCAAGCTATCCCCTCGGGCTTGTCCCTTCGAATTTCCGCTCTTTACTGATTTTTCGTCTCTCTGTGTATCTTCAATTTTGCTGCGACTCGTTTCTCGCTCGCGTTAGTCTGAACTTTTCTGTCTACTGCGTGGCCCATGAAAGTTACAACAGGACATCTGGGAAGTAGAGTCTTGGGATTTGTTCAATTGAATAGCGCTAGCTTTGTTCACGCCTTCTCGGGCTCTCTCTTCTTTCTTCGGCACCTGCTGAAGTAAGTTTAACCAGAAAAAATGACCGCGTTGCATAAATGTAAGAGCATAGATTCTGAAGCAGTGTTTTTTTGTACTCTGTTCTGAGTCGCGTTTCGCGTTATCGGCGTCAATTAAAGCGTCATGTAGGTGCAGGTTCTTGCCCTACAGAAAAACCTCGGTTTGCGAATAGAAAGTGCAACTGTGTCCAAGTGTAAACTTGTCGTCGGGGGAATGTTACAGTTGAATCATCGATTTTCCTTCAGACTGCGATTGCAACGAATGTCACTTGTGTACGTTTGCTTTGTTCGAACAAAAAGTTCTATACTTACCGTATATACATATATATTTACAGAAGTTGAATGCACACAAAGAAGCTGTATACTTACTAGACATAGCAACAACTCTTTTGTTTATTTTCTCATTCAGCGAAACGGACCTTCACAAGAAACCCTTCCTGGATGACAATTTCGCGCTAATATGTACAAGGTTTATTTCTATCTCTAAGCTTACACACCTACTACACATCGTAGTGTTCTGAAGGAGTCTTGATGCAGCGCTTTTTTTTTATTATTCATAAACTAAGTGCGACGAAATCGTCCCCACGTTTCAGTTTGATGCGTTTCTGCGTATATGTGTCAAACTTGGACGCGTGTCTGTAAGTAAGTTCGATTGCAGGGTAGAGGGGTGAAAGAGAACTTATCATTTCGAGTAACTCCTCTTTTTTTCCCCCTCTCTGTGTCGTTTGTAGCACGTGTGCCGAAAGTTAAGCCAAAATTTATAAGTGCATCGGGCCTTTCCGGGCTTTGCGGAAAATGATGGCCGAGTGGCCACACGCTCTGGATAACCTATTCTTTTTTTTTTCTTGCTTCACGCAGCTGCTCTCAAGACCGAGGAGAGGGAAACAGTGGCGCGGCCTTCGCAACACTAATGTGAGTGTTTGCGTATTGATCCTATTTTTCACGTTCACCTATACTGCGAGTTCGCCTTTTTTATTTTTTATTTTTTTAATTTAATAATACTGTCAACCCTCGCTTGGGGGTCATAACAGGGAGGGAGTACAATATGAGTACAAACAGAACATTTAAAAAAACCACTAAGCAATAAACACAGGAAAACAGAATGGGCAGTACTTCAACCATTACCAAAATAAGCGTCAATTTCTCTGTGAAAAGTTTGCACATCTGTACGATTAATAACATGTTGGGGTAAAGAATTCCATTGTTCTATAGCATCCGGGAAAAATGACCACCACCTTGCTTCATATCACAAAATTGCGCTCATTCAACACTGCTTACTCGTGCTGATGATTGTCATCGGGTCATTACAGCTCCAACCAAGTTGGCAAATCAGAGACCGCTGACGTATGTGGGAGAAGAAAACTCGCAGGATATTTATGCCGCTGTAACACGGGCGCCTTAAATTGCGGTCAGCATTGGACTTCTTGACTTCGATCAACAAGTTAGAGGTACAACTCGGTACAACCTATAAAGAACACCATGTGGTCGAAATTCCGGAGCCCTCCACTACGGCGTCTCTCATTATCATATGGTGGTTTTGGGACGTTAAACCCCACAAATCAAGCAATCGAATCAATCAATCGGTACAACCTAAACCGTATCAAGCTTAGCGCATACGCCATCTTAATCGCGATCGTGGAGCTATATTGTGACGTGCAGATCGTGATTGCCTTGGTTTTGAACCGAATCGAGCCTAAACTGGATCATGCCTGATCACGATAAAGAAGTGTCCATGTGACACCGGTATTGTGCATTCGACAAAGATGATTCGATGGCGCGAGTTATCTGCTGTGGCTATCTTGCCGTAACGTTATAGCGACGACCAGCGTTCACTGATGAGATATATGAACTGCCACTAAGTAACTTATCACTGGTTGACTGAGCACTCACTTAAATTGCCTTGATTGTCAACATATATATGCAAGTCATACTTTCAGTCGCTTTTATGCGGATTTCGATGCCCTAGACGCCACGTGAACTCTTTTTTTGTCTCACGCCGGCTTTATCATTTCACATAAGTCAAACTTAATTAATAATTTAGCCTCAATAAAGAGCGCAAAGGAATGCGTCTTTCTGTATGCAACTTCAATTTCTACCCTCTTACCAACCGTCGACAATAGCGTTACGGTTACTTCAAACAGCTGCTCCACTAGGAAAAAAAAAGAAAAAAGCACATTTGTCCTAGAGGTCGTGTTATCTCACTAAGCGTACCAGTCTGTCACAAAGGAAGCCTGCCTACGTTTTTTTTTTTTAAGGCGAAACACTTGAGGTGCCCGGGCTGTTATAGGCTGTCCTCGCTCGGGCGAAACCGCGTCTAAAAATAAAACAAAAAAGGAAGCAAGCGAGAGATAGAAAGAGAAAGAAAAAAGAAAAGTTGGAGGAAAATAGAAAGAGCAATAAAATAGAAAGAAATTAAGAGAGAAGAGGGAACTAAACAGAATGATAAATCAAAGAGAGAGAGAGAGAGGGGGGGAAGAAAAAAGGAAACAAAGAAGGCTGTACAGCCCCGCATTTCCATCAGGCTTATTGGCACCGCTACAGTGCGAAGCTGTCTGAATTTTTCGCTAGCTTTTTTTTTGTGGCATAGTCATTTTTTTCTGGCTTTGTAATTACAAATATCAAAATCACGATGCTCGGGTTCATCACAGTCTAAACTACGCACGCAGGTAAGCGTGGCAGAAAATAAAAAGGCTATTTAAGCCATCGTCGTCACCGGCGTGCAACAGGCTTTGCCCCGGTCGACCAACCAACTTTGACCGCTGGATTCGTGGACCTCACCACCGCTCATCGCTTGACTTTATACACGAAGCAAGTTTGCATGTGTTTTTTAATGAAAAAAACTATGTAACGCCTAAAGGTATTGATTTATATGTGTGGTTTAACGTCCCAAAACCACCATATGATTATGAGAGACGCCGTAGTGGAGGGCTCCGGAAATTTCGACCACCTGGGGCTCTTTAACGCGCACCCAAATCGGAGCACACGGGCCTACAACATTTCCGCCTCCATTGAAAATGCAGCCGCCGCAGCCGGGATTCGATCCCGCGACCTACGGGTCAGCAGCCGAGCCACCTAAAGGCAGACTTTCGAAAACAAAAATAAAATTATAGATTAGACTACTTTGCGGCCAGTCAGAGTTCTCGTGCTTCACCAAAGCCATCTTGAGCTATTTTCGCCCCTGTAGGTCACACTGCAGCAGAGTCTATGGTCTATTGTAGTTATATTACTTCTGTATTACAGTTACACAATTGTTGTTAGTTTTCGTAACGGTACTAACCTTTTTAACAACGTAGTTATTGTGTTATTCCTTTACTAGCTAAGTGATTTGTAAAGTGAGTTGAGGAATCGAGATCTTGCACTGACGAGCTACGAAACAAAGGCGTCACCGTTACTTCAAGGCTTGAAGCAAATCATCCTGACTTACATTGCATCCCATGGGACTGAAAACAACAAAAAAGTCACAGCTTTGCCGCAAAGGTGAAGCAATGAACGAGATAGCGACAAATTGGCAGGTCACGCGCTGAATGGCAAGAAGATCGAAACGTTCCCCGCGTTTCTCACGCACAAATGACGCACGAAACGTACTAACAGGTTCAGATGAACGCGAATAATCGTCTCAGTTGTTACTTCGCTGTGTCTGAAAAGCGCGCCCTTTTCGCAAACGGAGGCTTCGCAATGATTGCAGTGGCCTTTGTGCGCCCCGTAACTACAGTAGAATCGTTCCAGTGAAAAACCGACGCCAGCTAAGACATCTGATTCTCCCCACCGGGAGATAAGGACGCGCTTGAGATTGTCCACTCCCCTCCTCTCCGCGGGCCACAGTATGCGTCAGAGATGAGATCCGTCACGCGCTCATTGCGCCACCTTGCTGATAAGGCTTAAAGCTCGATAGTCCCCCCCCCCCCTCGAGATGCCCGCCAACAGCGTTAAGTGGTAGCAGAGTCCTTCAATGGTGGTAGATTTAAATGGCTTGCCGTTTGAACTTTGAAGGAGGTACCTCTCGGTGGCCAATGGTTAACGTTTCACATTCGCGACGTCGAAGTCCCATGTTTGATTCCGCGCGCTGCAATCTTTTTTCTAGATTTTTTCTTTCTTGTGTTTTCATACACGTATACTATACCTATACGGTGCATGGCGTCGACGCCACGTCCACGTCGACGCCGGTGGCGAAATCCAGCCGGGGGTGTCCATAAAATTGCTATCGCAATAAAAACGACGACTTCCCCACGCATCAAAAATAAATTAAACGAAATCAAGAAAGCAAAAGAAAGGTAGACAGTGTAATTGGCACTGCGTCATGAATTTACAAGCAATTGACAAATACAAATTCAACTGCCAGTGCAACGCGCCACTATGTGGTAGCCGTTGCGGCGCCGCACGCTTTAGATGGCGTCACAAGGCATACATGCAGTTTCGACTAATGACGTCGGTGCTCTAGGCCTAATTAGGCCTGAGGTACCTTTGTCTGCGCCTCAGCGCATCTATTTGCCCCGGTCGGTTGTTTTTCTCATTTCGCGCAACTGTAAGGCTCTGCCAACGAGGCGGCAAGGTTGTTTGTCTTGGACGAAAGAAGGAAGTGGAGGGAGGGGGGGTACCACGTGCACAGCATGCTTGTTAGGGTTAGGGTGAAGCCGTGTAGCCAGTATTCCCTTGCGGCTTGTACCACCTGGATTCGTCTGTCTTGCCTTCCTTTCCTCGCCGAAGTTTGCCCAAAGGCCGCGTACTCGGACGAAGATGCGCGCAAACAACGTGAGCTTGAAGAATTGCGTGCATTGTCCCAGTCTTCTGCTAGAGAGGGCATGCTACGCAGCATCCACTTTTTTCGATATCGCTGGTTTACGTGAGAAAACTCAACATACCGCATCAGCGGTCAGACTCTATCTGAATGGTTCTTGGTTATCGGTTTTAATGTAGTAGCTAAGCCTTTCAGGTGATACAGTGAACTCGCACTTGCGTGAACTTCAACGGAAACGAGAAAAGAGTTCACTTAAACTGAATGTTCACTTGAATACAGAACAGCATTTGGCATAGCAAAAATGAAGTCATAGCTGTGAAATGCAGTTTATTTTTGAAAGAATACTTCGATTCTTATTAGGATTGGCAAAGTGCAAGAAAAGCGAAAGCTGTCTAAAGCGTCTACATGTTCTACACACCGATATAGACGAGTCCACGCTGATGTATGAGCGAATTGGGGCGGCATGCATGCATCAGATATGCCAGTGCTACCGTGGGAAAAACTTCATTGAATTGGTTTTAAAAGTAAGTCCAGGTCTGCCGATCAAGTTTGTTCAACTAAAGTATTCACTATTCAGAATTTTGTTTACCTGAAAGGTTATTCCATAGAACGCATACGAAAGGCGTCGGATATTTCCTAAAATCACGCTAATGTGAAACATTCTCATTTTTACGTTCGTACTAGTCAGACTTTGCCATATTTCATACAAGATGAGTGATCAGTTATGCCATGGAAAGGATGTTGACTGTAGGTATACTGTTCTGCTGATTGGCTGTCGTGCACCTTGAGGGGGGGGGGGTAGAAGAAAACACAAATATACGACCAAAATAAAGCGCATTCCTAATCAGCCTCACTCGTGCAGTGTCCCTCCTCGAATTCCTCTATCTATAAGTCCATGAGCCAACACCAACATTTTTTATATCGATTCTGTGATTAATGACCAGCACTACAATGTAATCACGAGGTACGCTGAATAGTGATGGAGTCTAGATTAATATTTTTTCTACGTAGGGCTACTGAAGATGCACTTTAATCCAAGTAGAGGAGCTTGTTTGTATTTCGCTCACATGGAGCGGCGGCTGCGGGACTTGATATCAAAACCGTGACTGCGAGCATCGGCGCAATATAAATGACACCTATGAATTGCCACGGTGGATCTAAACAAATATTTTATTGA